GATTTTTTGATTTTTGATTTTTGATTTTTGATTTTTGATTTTCGATTTTTGATTTTCATTTTCATTTTTCATTTTTCATTTTTCATTTTTCATTCTTCAGATTTCAGTTTTCATTTTTAGTTTTCAGTTATCAGTTATTTGTTATCTGTTATCTGTTTTCTTTTATCTGTTACTTTTTATCTGTTATCTGTCATCTTTTATCTGTTATAAGTTATCTGTTATCTGTTATATGTTACCACCTGTTACCTGTTACCACCTTTTACCTGTTATCTGTTATTTTCCATATAGCATTGAAAATATCCTGTATACAATTGTATAACAGACTCAGATTTATGTGAGATGCCGGCAACGTCGCATGTGTTGTTGTTAATACCATACATGGCGTTATAAAATCTTCCATGTAGCAAATTGTATAGCAGACTTAGATTTATATGAGGATCGTCGCATAAATCTAGCTATAACACGACTTGCAAAAAAATGGCGCTTGACACTGACATATGTCAACCGTGTTCGTCTATGGATAGCAGTGGACTATGCTTTCTTCAGTGTATATGTTTTCTGTTTTGTAATGTCAATGTCATTGTCATAGGTAATTTTTTTTAACCTGGAAAATGAAATGTATTTTGTTTAAAATTAAAATTCAATAACTCCTATTGTGAGATGTGTGCATCTACAACATAATGAAAGGAAAAATTAAGATTCTGAAAGTTAATTCCTAAATATCATAGTAAGGAAATCCGTAAAACTAAAAAAAAAGTAAACATAAACACCTTGAGAAAACTTCTTCCGTATCAAGTGGTTAAAGTGGAGTTTTAAAACAATTTTTGTTGAAAATAAGGCCGTTAGTTTACAAGCAGGTATGTAACTGAGCGATCCGCTAATGTGTGTGTATCTTGCTTATAAAAAATGCTGTATTTAGATATTGCTATTCACACATGAGCTACCGTTCTTTGATAGGATATTTTCAAATTGAACTTTTGTCTTATTTTTACTATTTATTGCAGGAGAACAGTTGTTGAACCAGGTCCTGGTGCATACTTATGTAGTTGTCACTTTGTGGATGGGAAAAAGAAAATAGACCTACATTGTTTAGGTATAATAGGGAGAAGCAATTGAACTTTCCATCGTCAGAAAGAAGAACCCGTAAAAATAACAACAATGTGAAAATTGAACTCTATAATATGTTACTTCAAATTGGGCCCTTTTAAGGGATGTATGTAATAATTATGTGATCTGCAGAAATAAAAATAGTTTAGATACAACACATGGCATCATAAATTATTTTAATGTAGAGTTCAGTACTCGTATAGGTAACTTTCACTCCCCTGGCAGGCTTAATCTAAGCGATATCACAAATATGTCTATACCAAGTTACGATTATACTGTGCAAGAGTACTTATCTTACAAATTTTGACAAGTAATGGTGTCTGTTGTTTTGACAAGTCTTGGAAGTCACAAGTTCTTAAAGCAGCTACATTCTAAATCGATTTAGATCAAAATAAACAATTGCAGTGGCTGTGAAAGTCTTAGTAATTTTGAAAACTTTGGTAGTAGATATGATTATCAATGCTATTTTTCAGCGCTTTGCATATTCCTTCATCTGCTTGATAATATTTGCCAATCGAAGGGATAGATGACAAGTTTGTTTACTTATTTTCCATTTATACATACTACTCAGGTGAGATACTACTACTACAAGGTTTTTACAATATTTATGAGTTTGTTGGTGGTAAAGTTCTTCGTTTGGGAAAAATTCAACAGAAGCAGATGAACAATGCTCGCTTTATGATCTGGAGAAAAATGTGCTATCGCTTTAAACTAAAATTTCCTCTATTTTTTTTAATGTTGTATGATTATGATCAATCAATTAGAAACATGACATATAATAATAACATCTCAAAAAATTAGACCGGAAGCTTGAAATTATTAAGTACTATAGTTGTTGGACAGTAAGTAATAGTATCGCTTGAAAATCAAATTTTGTAATCTGTTTCCTCTGATTCAATAATGAATTTTTCTGTAATCTATGATTAAGATCAGTCTTAGAAACAGGACAGATGTGAGTATCCTTGAAATTAGACATATAATAATAACATCTTTAAAAACAGAATAGAAATTTGAAATCATCAAGTGCTATAGTTTTTTGACAAGTAATGGTGTCTGTTGTTTGACAAGTCTTGGAAGTGACAAGTCCTTAAAGCAGCTACATTCTAAATCGAAGTACATACATTCTGCATTGAGATCAAAATAAACAACTGCAGTGGCTGTGAAAGTCTTAGTAATTTTGAAAACTTTGGTAGTAGATATGATTATCAATGCTATTTTTCAGCGCTTTGCATATTCCTTCATCTGCTTGATAATATGTATGTGCCACTGTTAGCCAGCTAATAGGTCTACATATTAAATAAATTGAACTGAGGGTCAAGACTGAACTCTTACTGAACTTCATAGAAGTGACTGACTACTTACGTTGCAATAGAAACACATAAACTGTAAACACTTCACACAACACTTTCACTATTTGTAGCTGCGATTGCTTGTTCTAAGCTTCTAATTAATCCTTATTAACGGGAGCCTCATATTAAGATTTCGATAATGTTTACATTCATACATTGTAGGTTAGAAATCGGAGGTGATGCAATCAGACATACGCTTTATATCAATCGGTTGGAAAAGCGGAGCTTTATGCCATATTGTAAAATTATAACATGAATAGGGGCTTACAATCATATTTTTATCGTATTATAAACCGATGATGATTTCAATAAATTGATGAACGTCAAAGAATAATTGCAGCCTTTGGCGGTAGACATCGCAATCTGTAAACATAAAAAACTACTAGATTCATCCGATTTTAATGGCTCTAGTCCGGTCCGTTTAGACAATGGAATATAGAAATTTTGAATCTTTTCGAAAATGTAGATTTTCACGCGCAAAAAAGGACAATTCTATTTGGCGTGATCCAATATTGGATGAAGCGATAGTCATGAAGCCGAAAATGGCACGTTTTTGACGTTCCGCTCGCACTCGCTCGCTTTCGTAATACGATCATATCTACAATACCCCGCCTAACAGGAATCCGGGGATCTGGAGGGGAAATTCAAAATTGAAACGTCAAACTAAAATTATCTGCATATCTTTAAATTTTGTAATCTGCCGAGTTTTAAAAAATGCGATCGGGTAACGTGTCGTATGTCGGTTTAATCAGGAGACTTTGGCCTTTCGTTTGCGAAAAAAAATCGTAGCTACGTCGCTCCGTAACGCAGGTCCGTATCGACGAAGACAAAGTACGCCGAAAAACGGTTGTCATCGGTACTTTTGAGGCGCTCAAAGTTTACTTTTTCGAAATTTGACGGTAATTCTGACGGTCAGAATCGTTTCGTCAGCTCATTATCGTTATTTTTCGATAGCTGTATAATTTTTACTCGCTCACGTACGGTAGTAATAAGCGAGGACAGAGCCGGATGACAAGGTGACTTTTTCACGCGTCGAAAAGTAGCGTATTGTCGAGGAATTTTTAAAAATCGAAACTTTTCAACGTAAACGAATGGAGAAACGGATAAAATTGCGATCCCGTATTCGAAGTACGGGCTTTCTTATGCGACAGTCGCCAGGTCGTATCTTCGTTATCTTCGGAGGAGATAGACCGTGGACGGCGATAAGCGCGTTTCATAAGCAAAAAAGTCATTCTTGACGACGTTCGAGGTTCGTTTATTCGAAACGGGTGCCGTAAACGGAAAAAAGTCTCTCCGCGTAATTCGTAGCGCTAGTCGAGATGTACGAAACGCGGCGCGCGAAATTCTTTTCTCTTCGGCGTAAGGAGATATCGAAGTTTTACCGCGACTTGCCGTTTTTCTCGCGTTTTCTTTAACATTTCTTAAAAAAAAACTAAGACGCGGACCGCGATCGGTTCCGCCCTAAAGTGTGCGCCCGTCGTTTAGCTATCGAACGAGACCGATCTCGAGTCGATATTTCGATAAACGGCGAAACGAGTGTGAAATAACGCCGCGTACCGTCCGAAAAACGGTCGATTTTTCGACTTTACCGGCCGTTTTCGATCCGATCCGTTCCTCTCGCCGCGACGGCTCTCGCCCGCCCGTAAAGCGCCGAGTTTCTAGTTTCCGAAACGGTACCTCCTTCCTTCCGAACGTTTCGCGAACCGGGAAAAAACCGAAAAAACCGCGTCGACGTCGCCCGCCCAAAATTTCTAACGTCACGTGACCTCTTCCTTAAAACAATCGATCACCGCTTAATATAGTCGACTAGCGCAGTTTCTGGCATGCTAACGCTATGCCAAATATTGTACGTTGATGTCTTTATTTAAAACCTCACGTAGCGCAGTTGCTGGTATGCTAATGCAATGCTAGCGATAACTTTATCCTATCTCTAATTTTTTATCCTTTGGCATCTTTGGATCTGGTATCTGGTCT